CCTGAATTTCTGGGAGGTGCTGAACTGGAAAGGAGGATCTAGTTACATTCATTCAGAAATGAAAGCCAAGTGAGGTAATTTTATTAGACTTGCTCATTAAGGTCCAATGACTTTTAAGAACTCGCCACCATGTTTATGCCATTAGTACCTCCGTTCAAAATACAGTACAATGTATGTTACCAAAAAAAAAAAAAAAGGGATGCAGCAGGAAGGATGTGTGGCAAGGGGAAGCATAGGTCTGATACATGACCAGATGCCACAAAGTCAGTAGAGTACAGGTGACAGGAGACTCCTCGGCAGGTATGTGGCTCCATCTGAGGACAGGGACGATGTGTAAGAGGAAGGGGACAATCACTTTATTTCCTTATTGATAATGAGAATGATATTGAGGATGAGTTTCAGAGAGGGAGGGGAGACTCACTGAGACTTGGAGTGAGCATGGCTCCTGTATGGACAAAGCAACTTACTGGAATAAGCAACCAACTGTGGATTGAGATGGCTCCTGCTCACCTTCCTCCCCACTGGACCTGACACACCCTTCACATCTCCATTAAACTGTCATTTCCACTGTAGCTTTGGGAGACCTAGGGACCCAAGATGCCACAGATGTCTCTGGCTGCCTCTCTGGCAGAGATTCTCCCTCATAACTGCTGCCTGTCGCATCAGGAGCACAGAATCTAGTCAGAATGAACCTCGTGCCTTGGTAGTAAGGGCTGAAGAGATCAAATGGTCCCAACCCCTTCTCACAATGATGGTTTTATGGATGGAGTGTAGTCCAGGTGTCAGGCAAAAGCCACCTAGCATTTCACCGGCTACCCCGACTGGCTCAAGGATGAAGTGAATGGAGATAATTAGAGGAAGTCTAAGGCTTTAGTTTAATTACTCAGTCAAGGAAAACCTGCTGGTCAGAGTGACAAACAGAAGATACCAACCATCCCCAGGCTGTTACCAAACCCCATGGATCCTGCCATGAACCTCAGTCTTTTCCTCATATCCATGGCATACTTCATTCAATCTTACACAGTCTCTCCTCTCCTCTGTCTGACCTTATCTCTATTCTCCAAACCCGAATCCTAGTCCCAGAGTGGTCTCAAATGGCAGGCCTGGATTTGTCATTTTCTTTATCTGCCATCTTTGATGTTTTGTCAGGGAACATACAGCAAGTAGCATGATCTTGGAGGACCACATTTCAAACCCTAGCTCTGCTACCGGACTGTGAGACTGAGCAAGGTTCTTAGTGTCTTTGTATATTTCTTACCCTGCCTATAATGTGAACACTGTAGAGTCAGAATTCCTTTGGTTATCAGAGGCTAAAAACTAACTTCAACTCATCAGACAAAAAGGAGAGCTGAATGAGTTCAATTTGCCTGTCTGAAGGAGCCAGTAAGGCCTTAGAAACAGCAGAGTAATGAACTTAAAATTATCTATATGCACTTTGCAAGTATGCTCATGCGTGGAAATGTGTGCATGCTTGTACCTTGAGGACAGGCAGCACCTCTCAGCTTCCCTCTCTGGTTTCATTCTCTTTCACTGGCTAGTTCCTGAGTGACCAACAGTTTTCACACAGCAAAAGAGCAGAAAATCCTGCTGTGAACCCAAAATTCAAAAATTCCAGAAAAGAGTTTTGCTTGTCTTTCTTGCCTTGGATTTAGTATCTGAGGCAGGGGTTGCTGGGTCAGGGCTCAGGCAGGATGTGTACGACGAAAGCTTCCAATCAAACTACCTGATGACAGACTTGAAGCCAATGGTGTGGACCTAGACAGACTAACTAATGGCTGCTGTCTACACGTCTTATCTTGCAGTCATTTGAGAGATAGAATAAGATTACCTACATCGCTGACCACCAGGTGCTCAGAGCCACACAGGTACTGCACATAGCAGTATGCTGCCAATCTCTCCTCTGTTGACCATGCCCTTTCTTTTCGGACCACTGCTGACCTAGATGGTGCCTTTATCTCTTGCTATGGAGATAAAGGTATGGCTCTCACAATGATGCACTCCAGTGGGAATAAGGTTTGACAAACAACCTGTCCACCTCAGATGACTGCAGTTCCCAAGAAGCTCTGTGCTGCTCTCCTTGGCCAGTGTGTGCTGTCTGCCTTTCCCAGGCCTTTTCCTATTGGCCTCAGAACCCCGGGCCAATAACACCACTTTGCAAATCCTTCCACGGCACACTGTCAGCTATGCACTGCTGCCTTCCCGGCTCTTCTAGAAGCCTGTTCTTTATTCCCTCCCACAGTACTGATTACATTATATAGATAGCAACTATCTGTTTGCCCATCCGTTCTTTTCCGCCCCCCCCCCACCCCAGTGACTGTAGCTTGCCAGCTCCAAGTCCTCTGCCCAGGAAGAAAGCCTGGCTTCTAGTCGACCTCAATTCATGCTTGTTGAGTAGGATACTGAATGAGGAGGAGGAAGGAAGGAGGAGAGGAAAAAGAGAAGGCCGCCTAGACAAGTTCACTGTTCTCACACAGACCTGTATCTGTTTCAATGTTTGCAGTTCAAACAAATGGAAAAGAGCAGAGGCCTCTGGGATGCCTAGAAACAAAGTTGCTTCCTGTACCCCAGTCCTTGACATTTGAGAACTGGTTTTGGTTTTGTTCTGTTTTTCCACTTGGGCATTTTTCCCCCATGGGAAAGTGAGGGTCTTGCAGAGGTCTAATTATTCCAGCTGAAGGGTGCATGGACTGTCAAGGCAGTGTTCTGGATGGCCGCCCCATCCCCCACCCCCACATCCACCAGGTGTGACTGTCCCCAGAGCTCTAATATTCTTGGCAGTCTGTCTGGCATTACTGTGGGCCAAGGGAATGAGGTCACTGTCGCCAATGAAGTCACCACTGCATGATTCATCCCACATCAGCTCCCAACTTGGAGTGTGCTCTGAGATCCTCAGAACTTCCCACAAGCCATCCAGAACCCGGGGTCCCTGTCAGATGAGCTCACATTTTTTTTTTTTTTTTTGAAGCAAAAAACCGAGGCCTAGAGAAAGGCAGCCAGCCACACTGCTAACTTGTGGTGCTTGGACCAAATTCAGCTTTCCGGCAGAGCTGGTTCCCACAGCTCTTTAGCCTTTTCCACAGTTCCTCCTTTCAGAAGACTAGTCTTTGCAAACACAGTCAGAGCTAATGGTCGTGCAAGCAGCAAACCTTCCTCTCTTCACCTCCACGGGAAAGTGTCGAGACCTGACTTCAAGACAGTGTGCTACCTTGCTTAACCTTTCAGAATCTATGAAGTAACTTTCAAATTTATTGATGTAGCCAATGCAAGTACCTCCATTCAAATGCAATGAATGGGCAGGGTATGGAAAGACACTTTCCTACATTCACAAGAAACTTTAAATAATACTCGAAATCTTCCTGGTAGAATTGGAATCAGGATTATGATTTGAAAATTGGCGCCCGGAATTCGCGAAAGAGAAATGAGGACATCATAGTAACCATCTCGCCAGGTGGTCCTTAAGTCCTTGAACCACGGGAGTAACAGGGAGCCTTTTGGTAACCACTTCCCAGGTCCCAGTTTCCCCACCTGAATCCCAGGGGCGAGGGCATGATCGACTCACGCACCCTTCCATGCAGCGTTTTCTATCACTATGAACTGGTGAGAGGAAACGATTTCCCTGTCAGCAAGCTGCGGCTAGGGTGCAGTGTGGGGTCAGCACAGAGTGAGCCTTAGCTCCAGGACCCTACGTTTAAAGCGGCACTCCGCCACACGACTGGCCCTGGCCAGACAAGTGTTTCCGGACATGCCAGAGAGAGGCGCAGGGTTGGTCCTGGATCACTGGCCAAATCTCAGAGCATGAGGATACATCATATGTCAAGATCACAACTGAATACTTTTGGAGAGACACTTGGAAGCAAAATGAAGCCTCGGACGATGTCGCCTCCAGGGGGAGCACAAATAACATTTGCGGTCTTCTGACAAGGGCTCGCCCCTTTGTGGCTGGTTGGGGGTGCAATATGCTGCATCTCTTAGTCACCAATTTCATAGAAAATGACTCAAGCTCGTGCTGCGAAAGGCGTGGGGTGGCGATGCAGAAGAACAAGCAATAAGCCAGGAGTCCCAGCTTTCCAGCTCAGAGACCCACCACCCTCCCAGCCTCCGCGCATCTTTCTTTCTAATTATTGTTACTAATTATTTTTATAACCCTCTTGGCCGCTGTTCCTGATTTCCAGTTGCGTGGAGCACTTGCAGGCCGACGGGATGGCTCCTGCCTTCCAGGCAGAATTTAAATATATACATCTGTATAATTCTGCACAATTGCGTCACCGTTGAAGTCGTCGTGGTTCCCCGAAAGGCCTCCACGTCTCCTCCCGGCACCGGGGACTGCGGACGCTTCCGGGCTCTGGCCGCACTTTCGCGAGGAGCCCTGGGCTCCTTCCGAGCGGCCGCCCGAGCGCCCCTCCCCCAGCCCCCGTCCTCCCGGTTCCCGGGCGCCTCCTCCTCTGCCTCCGCGCCCGCCTCGCGGGGAGTCAAGCTAGGGTGAGCCGCAGGAGCGCACGCCGGGCGCGGGCGCGGGGCGCGGGGCGCGGGGCGCGCAGCACTAGGGAGCCGTCGGGACCGCCCTCCCCGCCCCCCCCCCGGCCCAGGCGGGCGGGGGCCGGAGCGGCGCGGGGCGGGCAGAGCCGTCTGGCCCCTCCCCTCCTCCGCCCTCCCCAAAGTTGCCGACTCCCCTGGGGCCGGACGGTCTTATGATCCGGCGGATCCTCCTGGGGAGGCCGGGCCGGGGAGCGGGTTCGGGCTCCGAGCAGCGGGGCCAGCAGGCGGGCGCGGCGAGCAGGGCCAGGGCGGGGAGCGGGACAGCGATCGAAGCGGCGGCGGCTGCGCCCCGGGCCCGCCGCACCTTCCCCCTCCGGTCAGGGGAACCGCTGCATGGGGCTGGGGGGGCGGCCCTGCTGCGCCGAGCGGCGGCGACGGCGGACCCCCCAGGCGGGCTGGGGCTGAGCCCGGGGCCAGGGCGGGGGCTCCGGGGGGACCATGCCCCGAGGCCGGCCGGCCGCAGCATGGCTCACGGGCCCGGCGCGCTGATGCTCAAGTGCGTGGTGGTCGGCGACGGGGCGGTGGGCAAGACATGCCTACTCATGAGCTATGCCAACGACGCCTTCCCCGAGGAGTACGTGCCCACTGTCTTCGACCACTACGCAGGTAAGCCTCTGTCCTGCTGACTAAGGAAGGGGCTGATCCCGGGCTGGGAACTTTGGAGCAACTTTGGCTGAGCCCCCTGACTTGCCTCCCCTGAGCGTGCACCCCTCCCCCGCCGTGCCCTCTGCCTGACGGCTCCACCCCCCAGAGGCTGTGCCTCTGGTCACCCCTCGCAGCAACTCCCACCCATTCCTATCTTCCCCTTCGCCCCTTCTCCCACACTTCTCAGTCCCCTGAGCGCCCTTCTTGACCTTCCCGCGGTCTCTTCTCTTACTGCCCGAAACCCCTGTAGGGGAAACATCTGGGAACACTAGGGTAGACGTGGCTACAGGGTTTAGGAGAAGGGGGGGGTGGATGGCAGGGGGCCACATCACACCTATATCTCATGCCACTTGGCAGTCAACTGGACTCAAGTAAAAGGGGATGTTCTCTCCTGGGGATCACCCACATGCTTCCCAGTTATTTGGGAAAGGAGGGTACTGTGTGGGGAGCGAAATTGCTAGACCTCAGGTCATTGTGAGCTTCTCTCCCCACCCCCACTTCTGTCCTTGCAGTCAGCGTCACCGTGGGGGGCAAGCAGTACCTCTTGGGACTCTATGACACAGCTGGACAGGTGAGTGTTTTGGCCTCTGGCCGATTTCTTTAGCCCCCATCTCTCGCCAATTCTGTGTGGCTGTGGAGGGCCTTTGGAAACTGAGGTGTCTAGGTGGGAGGGTGTGTCTTCCAGGGGCTGCCTCAGGATCAGGTTCTTTCTTAAGTCAGCAAATTAAGGAAACAAACCCAAAAGAAAACGCAGACCAGCGTGAACCCCGCGATGTGAAAGTTTTTGACTGTATGGGTCGTTTTGTATGTTGCCTGGTGAGTGGGTCCCAACTCCTGTTGCAAAAGTGGCAGCGGCCAATGGTAAAGCGTTCTTATTTTTAGTTGCTGATGACCAGGTTTCCCCCTCACAGCCTCTGTCTGGTCCCTCATTGGTGAGTGGTCTGCCTGCCCGAGGAACCTGATTGGTGGGAAATGGCATCATCTAAGATGATGGGAAGGCATTTGGTCCTGGTTATGTTTATTACAACATCATTGCACTCTGGGACTCCAGTCCCTGAAAACGTAATTTGTGGTGTTAGCCGAGGAGCACAGGGAAAAAGAAAAGAAACAACAACCATCAGCCACTCCCTGGGGTTCGGGGCGGGTAGGGTTAAGAGTTCAGCAGGAGTCTTGGAGGAAGAGCTTTCTTCCCCTTGGAGGGCCAGGTGACTTTGTGTTTTCTTTGGAGAGATTATGTGCAGAAGGGAAAGGAACCCTTTCTTTTCTCTGCAACCTCTGGCTAGTGTTTGCAAATCATAAGGGTCAGGCTGTTCTCTTGTAGGGCTAAGGAGTATTCTGGGTTTCTGTCTCTCTATCCAGCTGGCCTTGCCAGACGAACTTTCTTTCTTCTGGGGCTAAGGTGATAAAGTTTTGCTGAATTCAGCTTGGTAATTTGTTCCTACGTCTCTGGAAGAAGTTTCTGTGTATTATGCAGACTTGAGAACCCTGAGGACGCCTGAGCCATTGAACGATTGAGAGTGACCCCAATCATTCAGCTTCTTTATTTGTGAACAGGGGGGACAGGTGGGGGGGGCAGGGGGAGAGAAATACCACCACAGATACTATATGTTAAATATGTGTTTGATTAGATTTGCCTTCTAGCATTGTAGGCTCCCAGATTCTATACTGACATCTACAAATATTTTGTGGGTTTTGGGGGAGGGGAGGGGCTTGATTTGGCCTTGATTTCTAAACTGTTAGAGCAGTGGTTCTCAGCCAGTGGGGAAAGGATCTCATATCGGATATCCTGCACATCAGATACTTACATTAAGCTTCATAACAGTAGCAAAATTACAGTTATGAAATAGCAACAAAATAACTTTATGGTTGGGGGCAGCAACAGGAGGAATTGTGTTAAAGGGGAACAGAATAAGAAGGTGGAGGAGCACTGAGTCAGAGGAATATTTGAGGACTGAGACCTGCTGGCCGTGCAAAGGGCCAGAGAACACTCCATTCACTGAAGTTGCCCAGACCAATGCTACCGGGGCTGATTCTCAGCTTCTAGGGCCTGTTTTGGTTATTCTTTAGCCCCACCAACACCCCTTTCGTCAGTTTTGGAGGGCAAGGAGTAGACTGTAGTCAAGTACTTCCAACTTTCAAGTAGTGCTGTTGAGAGGGTGTTGACAATAATTGAAAATAGAGATTTTGGAGAAGAAAGTAGTTCCCAATGTTAATTTTGTATCCTACCTCATCTTATTGTTGCAATGGTCATGTTTTAAGCATGCACTTTATTCAGCAAGCCCAATTAATATTTGCCTTCTGCATAGCAGAGACCAGGGCAACCATGTGCACGTGTATACACATCTAAGGTCACATGCTTACAAAAGCTTGCTGCTGAGATAAAGGACCCCGTACCACTCCAATGGGCTCCTGGGAAGTCCTGAAGTGCCTCCGGTCGGTCAGATGGTTTGTGTGCACATAGTACTTGACGTTTACAGCCATTCTCCTGGTGACAGTAATTTGGCTGAGGATGGGGAGGGTGTGATCAGGGGTACCACAGACTAATACTTAGAATTTGGGGCTAAAGTTATTGATAATTAATTTCATTTGTAATACACAAACTTAGCCATTATCAGACAAAGTGGTAGGGCTGCTGTATCGTGCTAAGTAAACATCTGGGGTGTGCAAAGGAAAACATTTACGTTATGGGGTCAGCACTGCTGGTAGGAGTGTATGTAAGAGTCTAGATCAAATGATTGTGTCTTATGTAGGTTTCCATGCTGATTGTTAAGACCCTATTTCTCTATAAGTAGATAGCAGATTCCTTTGATGATAATAATGGTGGTAAATAAGTACATAGGCATCCATGCACATACTCAGATGTCAGGGGCTTTGAGGCAGATAGACAAAAGAGGGATGTCTCTGGGCTTTGGGACTAAAACATCCTGGAGTCATATCTACATATGCTAGGCATGTAATTCTAACTGAATTTATTTACTTTCTCTGTAATAGTAAAATGTGGATAATTAGGATCTACACTGCAGAGATGTAGGCTGCCTTAAATTCATTAACCTTTGCAAAAACAGTTGGCATGAACAGTTCTTTGTGTATAGTAGGCGTGCAAATGGTATCACAAGAAATTACTGTGTTCTGCTATGGACGGGGTAATTTGGGGGGTTTGGAGGGGGTGGTCGTAAGTGGAGGAAGACAATGTATTGTGCCTGAAGTTGATAGACTCAGCTACCATGCCAGATCCTAGAATTGTTAGCAGAGGTGTGGAGCCAGAGAAACAGTTTCAGGTTCCACATAGAAGTTGAGAAGCAGGGGCACGTGTAGGTTTCAGTTGGTTCTTTTTCCAGAGACAGTGGGATGAGGAGGAAGATTACAGAGCTGGAAAGCACTGGCCTTCCCTCCAAACTGTTTGCTCATGTGTGTGGGTGCTTGACACGCCTACTCAAATAAATGCAGCCAAGCCTCTCTCAGGTCAGCACCTCTAGTCCACGTTTTTTACTCTTGGCCTTCTTGATGACTCCAGGCAAGTCCATAGCCACAAGCATCGCTTGCCCAATTGACCTATTAGGAATCTACCAGTCAAGGGAGGATGGTTAGGAGATAACCTTTGGCCTTCTTGACCAGCTCATGTCTATATGACCCTTGCTGCTATCAGCAGAGAGACAGAGAGAATGGGGTACAAGAGTGTGTTGGACAGTGGTCCCTGACATGTGCCTTGTCTAGGGACATCCCTTGATGTTCTACTCACTCACAAGCATTGCTGCTGAAGGCAGCCCCCCTCCCCTTCTTGGCTGGATCCTAGATTGGTCCAAGGACAGCGTGCCATTTTGTCTGCCAAGCGTTTTGGAGTGGAAGTCAACACAGGCACCTCTCTCTACTCTGGGAGGTCTGGCTTTCTGTCTAGGTCTCTGTGGAACTTCTCCTTTTGTGCCTGGCCCTGGGACTTCAGTGTAGGCTCTGCACTGCCCTCTGCCTGCTCTAGGAAGGGTTAGAAAGGTGGGATTGTCTCTGCCTCTACTCTTGGGAATGAAAGGAAGTGGGGCGAACTTTCTCTGTGCCCAAACAAGCCAGCAGGGATCTGCTTGGCAGGCTGCTCTCTGCCTGCAGGCTCCAGGCCTGATCTCTTAATCCTTGGCAGGAAGGCAGAACCTGATACTCTGAAGAGGGAAGCACCAAAGTCTAATGTATCCCAGGTCTCAGAATACCGACACTCAGATGGGTGTGTGGTGGAGTGAGTTTGGGATCCCTAAAGTTCTAGATTTAGCCACTGTCTCTGCGTCCGGGTTCACATGTCTGCTTTAGGCACGTTGTTGCTATATTTGGCAACTTAAGAGTTCAGGGTTGCATCCACGAGAGCTATAAATATGCTTGCTCCTGTATCCCCTGGGGTAGCTTTTCAATGGCAAATGAGATTTACTTCACACTTGCCATAATCCAGCAGCTGTAGCTGCCCCCTTCCCCAGACAGCTCTCTGGGTATCCAGGAAGGTACTTCCTCCAACAAATGGAATCTCAACTGGAGGTAGCAGACAGGAGGGTCCTCCCCTCTTCTACATTTCATGGAATAGCACCCAAGAACCTAGCATTGTGTGTGTGTGTGTATACGCTCGTGCGTGCGCACGTGTGCGTGTGTGCGGGGGGAGGGACAACAGTACTGCTGCCTCATCAAATGCCTTTTATCTTTAGGTAGGGTTTGTTCATAACACCTTTCTAGGTAGACTGTACCCAGAGAGGGAACAGCAAGTGAGTAACTGGTGGGAAGGAGCCGGGTGAGTGAGAAAGGTTTTCTACTTCCGTGTAGGTGTGCAGTACGTAGATGTAGGTTGTAGGGCATGGCCACTCGCATCCTACAGGCCTCAGGTGCCCTTAGCCTTTCATCCATCCTTGAGGACACCCTGAGCCTCTTTCAGAGGTGAGCTGCAACAGGTGAGATGTGGTACGAGCCTTTGGTCTTCCTTGGTAACACACAGTAGATTTCTTGTCTGAATTTTGCTGACCTCTGTAGAAGCTATTTATACCCCAGGCTGCACTGTATCACACAGGCATGCTAGGCTTCCTCCTCTGGGTTGAGAAGGTGTATGGCCTGTTCATTCATAAGCTGTTGCTCTTTAAAGGACTCTGTGTTTTCCTGGGCCGAACTGTGGTGGTCTGTTTCAGGTCACGCAGGAACCTTAGGGTGTGGGGAGTGTCTGATTGAGCCTTGTGTGTCTCAACCTTTCTGAGCACTTTGATCAGCTTCCAACATGATTTTCCTGAGGTCTCATAAGCTTTCTAGTCCTTAAACTAATGCTTCCTGACTGGTATGCCAGGAATGAATGCTGTAGGCATGACAAGAGCTGGTGAGGTGGGGGGCCTGAGGAGCTGATCGTGGATTGCTGTGTTCGTGCCATGGTATGGCCACAGAGCTAACCATTTTTTTTTTTATGTATATGTGAGTACACTGTTGCTCTCTTCAGACACACCAGAAGAGGCATCCCATTACAGATGGTTGTGAGCCACCATGTCGTTGCTGGGAATTGAACTCAGGACTTCTGGAAGAGCAGTCAGTGCTCTTAACCACTGAACTGTCTCCCCAGCCCTC